CTACGTACTATCTGATCATAGTATCTACGTAATATCTGATCATAGTATCTACGTAATATCTGATCATAGTATCTACGTAGTATCTGATCATAATATCTACGTAATATCTGATCATAGTATCTACGTAATATCTGATCATAGTATCTACGTAATATCTAATCATAGTATCTACGTAATATCTGATCATAGTATCTACGTAATATCTGTCATAGTATCTACGTAATATCTAATCATAGTATCTACGTAATATCTGATCATAATATCTACGTAATATCTGATCATAATATCTACGTAATATCTAATCATAGTATCTACGTAGTATCTGATAATAATTACATATGTTTATAATTTAGCAAATCTTACTTTCAGCCACTTGCATCTTTTGACGAACCAATAACTGGTCGATTTGTGTTAAATATTCCAATCCCGGTGGGCAATCTGGGACAAGTATGAGAGGGTCTTGTGGTGACACTATTATTTGCTCATCGTCATTCGGCTTTTGCCCCATGCCTGGCTGTTTGGAGATAACATGTCCTTGTTGTGGAGGTCCAACATTATAACCAGCGGACTGTGGAGTTTTCACTTCGTATGCTGGTTGTTGTTGTAATTCATACTCAGATTCTTTCATATTGTTAGATCGACTCCAGTCAGCTAATGTTGTGTAGACTCTGTTCTTGTTAGGTTCAAGGGATGGGCGTCATTAGTCATCGCGGCACTGTACCTACGTCGTTATTGGCTGATATAACAGTCAATCATTAATTTATATTTACTAGTACTAAGTTTAATTAGTGTTAGCTACGAACAATTGAGGGCGCCCTCTTGATGACTCGCTCGGATTGAATACAAATCTACAGCATTGTGTATTGCCAGCTCCACAAAACGCCCTGAAACAGTTAGACAATTGTCAATTCAACTCGAAAGTGAAAAGTGTGTGTATTTTATTGTTTATGTTTATCACCTAATAGTATGATAACATACATATAAAATGTTTCATTGTATATGTCCCTAGTCATTACCATCAATCCAAAACAAAAATAAACAAAACAAAACAAAATAGAATATTATGTTATATAGGGGCATCATATGTGACATAATTTACATACATTACGTCATAGTGTGAATCAGTACAGCTCTTGTTATGCTGAAGGATTTTCCAAGTATAATGCATAAAACTAATTATTTTATTATTTCCCGCGTAATCATGACAGATTTGATTTAAATGGTCAGTGCCATGACTTACAACAATAACAATAACTATCTTATGCTATACTGCCCTTTACGGCCATACACGACTCCCATGAAGTATACGGGTATGCGACATTGTTTTAACCCCCTTTTCTCGGCCATTTTAGCAAAACTTAAGCCTCTTTTGGCGAAAAACGCACTCCGCTGACGCAAATTTTGGCAGTTTGTTTCCAAGTCGATCGATCCACGGAATTGATTGGACCACGTGAAAGGACGTAACAGTTCAGGGGCGGATACAAGATTTTTTTATGGAGAGGGGGGGGGGGGCAAACTTTAAAATCGCCAGACTAAGTTAATGATTTTTTTTATATTATAAACAAACAAATTGAATAAATTTTTCAACGGGTGGGGGGGGGGGTCTGGACCCCAAGAACCCCCCTAGATCCGCCACTGCAGTTCTTGTGCTTTCATACAGCCTAGAAGGACTATCTGACACACGTAAGTGTCACGTGTAGTCACCTAAACGAATATCTTCAGAAAGTATTATTACATATAGTAGAGACCAGGAGAATCGATCCAACAAGAACAACACCGGAACACATAGGTGCATTGAATAAACTCCATGATAACCACTGACGGAATTTCCTCGTAACGAAGCTACATGATAGAGCCAGCCAGTAAATTTTAGAGTTTGATTTATCCTTATTTTATTTTGAATAAAGCTAGCCTTATTAAAGGGTGATTTTGTTGTATTTACGTTAAACTGTTAATAAGGTCGAGAGTAAAAAATAAAAAAAATAAAAAATAATGATCTTTCTTTTTATCAGAATATGCTTTAAACTCTAGACTAACTATATTTACTTACCGACTTGCTGTGTCAAGGAGTACATCAATTTAATAGTTTATTGATATGACTACAGCAAATAATTTACATTAGTGTGAGATTTAGGAGTTTATTGAGTAGGCTTGTTTAAAATTGCACAGTTAATGGTATGTTCGCCACATAACCTTTATTCTATGAATTTACGTACATGTTAAACAATGTAGTATTAATCGTGAACACTAAACTGTTTAAACATGAATTTATAGTTCGGGAAAGTCTGTTGG